GATTAAAAACAATGTTCAAACTTCATAATAATTTAGTGCCAGAATACTTAATGGACATCCTTCCAAATATGCGCTGTAACACATCTATCTACTCGACAAGAAATTCTCAAAATTATGATATTCCAAAGTGTCGATTACAAACTTATAAGTCTACGTTTATTCCTACTGTAGTTAATGAATGGAACTCCATTCCACTTGAAACTCGAAATTTACAGTCAATGTCAAAATTCAAATCTAAAATTAGTAATAAAAAATCTAGATCTGCCCACCTTCTTACTTTGATTACGGTAACAGAAGACTTAATGTTCTTCAAACCAGACTACGACATAATTGTGTATTAAATAACGACCTTTTTAGATGCAATTTAATATCAAGTCCCTTGAGCACGTGCGGTAAAATTGAGGACACATATCATTATTTTTTCGTATGTCCAAAGTATGTGAATGCTAGAAATGAATTTTTAAATAAATTTTTACAATTTGACAAAATCCACATACTAGATACACATGTCCTATTATGGGGGGTTGAATCACTGAGTACTGCAGAGAATGAACGTCTCTTTTCTTTTGTTCAAACATTTATTAAGCATTCTGGTCGATTTCCTTGCTAATTACTGTACCAATATTAATATATGAATCTGTTCAACTTTATATATTTATACATATATGCAAAATGCATCAATCTGTTTACTTTTGAAAATTCTGAATACTTTATATAGCATGCTTAACTGTGACTATATCAATGTGTAATTTATATGTATAGGGAGAGGGCGTTATAAGTATTCAGTACTTGTGCCCAATCCCTTTGTAATTATATTACAATAAAATATGTTCAAATCAATCAAATCTACTAAAGGTTACATGTAATTTATAGATGCGATATCATAATTCACGTGTTAAGCAAACATTGAAACTACGATTTAGCAAAACGTAAGGAATAACAAATGTATGTAAAACCTATATAAATCATGAACTTAAAAGGTATTTAGTTTAGATTTCTTTCGTCAGTTTCACCATTCGATATACTGAAAATCAATTCAACATTCTTTTCTTCCTCTTCTTTTTGTTTTCTCGTTATAACTTAAGAAAAATAAATGCCTTATAACCAGCTGTTAAATTAGTTTGAATTTCTCGGGATTGAGAAATCAAGGAAATCATGTAAATCTATGTCGAATGTACAGTTGAATTTTAGCAAATTTATCAATGTTCTCCATTATATCACTGTTTACATGTGAGTGTACGTGTCCGCATCGTCGCATAAACAACAATGATCGATCCACAATACCATTACTGTTTTGGAATATACAAGGGGCGGGGCTTACTGGCGGTGAGATTAAAGCGGGGTCAGCTTCACGCATCAGTGCGTAAAGCAGTCCCAAGAAGCGAACGCCGGGTTCGCTCTAGCGGACCCAGAGCTGACCCCGAGCGAACACAGAGCGAACCCGGAGCGCACCCGGAGCGGTCCCAAAATTTCTGAATGCGAACCCGAAGCGGACCCCGAGCGAACCCGGGGTCCGCTCCGGGTTCGCTCTGGTGTTAGGTTGTGTCCGGTCGGTACTGTATGGATACGGTTTTTTTGTGAGGGGATTCCTAACTTCGCAATGCACATGTTCTTATTTTATTGAAAACAAGAGGCCCAGGGGCCACAGCGCTCACCTGAGCACATTGGCTAGGAAAAAGCACATATCAGATCAGAACTGAAAGTTTACTTGGGGGGGGGGGGGGGGGGAGGGGGCTTAAATTTTCACCCCCAAGGGGTTCATGATTTGAACAAACTAGAATCTACACTACCTGAAGATGATTCCATATTAATATCACTAATCATAGCTACTTGAAAAGGTGATTTTAAAAGGTTTCCCTATAAATCCCTATGTAAAACTTTGGTCGGCCATTTTGGCCCCACCCTAGCCCCGGGGGTCATGATTTGAACAAACTTGAATCTACACTACCTGAGGATGATTCCACATGAGTTTCATCTTTCCAGGCCCAGTGGTTCTTTAGAAGAAGATTTTTAAAGATTTTTCCTATATATTCCTATGTAAAACTTGGGTCAGCCATTTTGGCCCCACCCTAGCCCAGCGGGTCATGATTTGAACAAACTTGAATCTGCACTACCTGAGGATGATTCCAGATGAGTTTCATCTTTCCTGGCCCAGTGGTTCTGGAGAAGAAGATCTTTAAAGATTTCTCCTATATATTATATGTAAAACTTGGGTCGGCCATTTTGGCCCCACCCTAGCCCCGGGGGTCATACACTACCTGAGGATGATTCCACATGAATTTCATCTTTCCTGGCCCAGTGGTTCTTGAGAAGAAAATTTTTAAAGATTTTTCCTATCTATTCCTATGTAAAACTTGGGTCGGCCATTTTGGCCCCACCCTAGCCCCGGGGGTCATGATTTGAACAAACTTAAATCTACATTACCTGAGGATGATTCCACTTGAGTTTCATCTTTCCTGGCCCAGTGGTTCTTTAGAAGAAGATTTTTAAAGATTTTTCCTATATATCCCTATGTAAAAACTTGGGTCGGCCATTTTGGCCCCACCCTAGCCCCAGGGCCATGATTTAAACAAACTTGAATCACACTACCTGAGGATGATTCCACATGAGTTTCATCTTTCCTGGCCCAGTGGTTCTTGAGAAGAAGATTTTTTAAAAATGCCATTAATTTTTCTTTTATTCATAATTATCTCCCCTTGGAAAAGGGCGTGGCCCTTCATTTGAACAAACTTGAATCCCCTTTACCCAAGGATGCTTTGTGGCAAGTTTGGTTGAAATTGGCCCAGCCGTTCTTGAGAAGAAGTCGAAAATGTGAAAAGTTTACGGACAGACGGACAGACGGACGCCGGACAAAATGTGATCAGAAAAGCTCACTTGAGCCTTCGGCTCAGGTGAGCTAAAAACGTATTACTTTAAACTAAATAATGATCTAATCTCTCTCTACGTACACGATATTGCAGGTAATGCCCATCCTATTGACTTTTGATTTGTTACGGTCTGCTTAAACTACGCAGTCTGTTTTAAATTGATACCCGATATGTAATAAAATATGCAAAAAAAAACTTCAACCTTACTAAGATTGCCGTCGTCAATGAAGAATTTTGTATATTGATTGTTCGATAAAAGACAACATATGCCCAAATTAAACTTGCATCTTGATAAAAAAAAAAAATCATACATGTACGATCTTTCTGATGTATTATTTTACAAACATTTTCATCTTTATTATTTGATACTTTATTCTCTACTCCTGACAACATGCTAACTTATTGCTCAATCTCTGGCTAGTTATGCGTTTTGAGACAACTGCAAGCAGAATTAAATTGACAGATTATTCTAATAAAATAATGCATCTTGTGTTACCAGAATATTAGAACTTTCAGTGTCAAAAAATGGACATCTTCTTTAGACATGTACTCACAAAGAAAATAGCTCATAATACCTTATATTTATTTTATTGAAAAAATAGTTTTCTCCTAAAAAAAACAATTCATGTCACCTAATTTAATCTGTGCATAAACGTAAAGAATATTAGTTCTGAAGAGACGGGAAATGTGACAAATGGAATGAAGCATGTTTTAACGAAATGAAAATTCCAATTTTAAAAAATATTTAGTATAAAAAGTCCACTTTCAACAGTTATCTTTCATTATCACCCTAGACTCAAAACACTAAGGAACGTTTTAACATTACATCTAAAATTCAGAACAATCCTTTTTACTTCTAGAGGATATATTTAAATCAATAAAGCAAAAATAAATTAACACCAAAACAGTAAATGGTGTAAGTAAAGAACTTTTTTTTTTAAATTTCAACAAGGATGTAGATTTTAATTAACATGATCAACGTACGCGTCAGACAACTTTTCGACGTGATGGACTTTTCTCATCTTGACTACAATTGACATTAACTGTGAATTTCTCATGGCTCTGAATCTCTTTTGGCATAAAAATAGAACTTTCCGTGTAGTTATTTCTCTGTAGCCATTTTAAACATTATCATGGAATTCAATAACTTTATTTAACCTTTCAAGTGATTAAAAGTTTTAAAGAGACAAAGGAAATTGAAGTGAAATATCATCATCATATAACCTAGAAAATTCGAAAAGCCTTTACTTGGTATTTAGGGCGGCTTTGTAGTGAGCGAGGTAACTTTATATTTATCGTTCCAGCGCCTGACGTGACATGAGGTCTTTGTTACCCCACAACTGATGAATGTCATTTTATGCAACTTGGTCTGTCAACATTTGCGTTTCTTTATTATGTTCTTGTATTCCATGTATCGTTTAATCACTTGATACACAGATTCAAAAAAGTAAAACCATTATAAAAAAAAACTTTAAAAGGAAAAAGAAAATGTCAAGTGAAACTTAGTTTGCTTGTAATATCAAGTTAAAGTTCTTTGAATACATATAATAACCTCTAAGTGCAGAGTATTTTTGAAAGATAATAAAGTTTGTCATATTGCATGAAATAAAAAGAGATAATGAACAGTAGTCAGACTGAAAGGTCTATCAAATAATCCAAAATTGGAGAAAAGCAAACACGGACATATAAAACAACAGGATCGGCGGGGTAAACAAAAACAAAGCAAAAAATAAATTATTCACAATTCCCAGTATTTTCAACTGTTTATTATTAAAATAAATGTATTCTTTAAATAACTTGTTAATACATTAAAACTAAGTCATTTATAAATTTCCCAATTATTGTTCCCACTGTTTTTGTTACGGAAATATGGTAGCATAACTTTTTTTTGTTGTTCATTTAATAAATTGTTAGGTTTTACTTGAGGATTGTGTGGTATACTCTTTTTTCAGCTTGGTACTTGTAAAACGAGTAGCTTTTTCAATTGAAACATCTTACATCGAACTGTAAGAATTTTTCTAAAGAGTGACAATGCATACTTTTCATTTAATAATATAATAGGCCTACATGTAGCTATCTTTTTCTCATAAACCTGTAATTTATTTTAAGTGATTGAAATCTTCTCTTGACTTTCTTATTTTTTTAAAATTTATTCTAAATTACATTTGTGTAAATATGCAGTCTCTCAAAATATTAATTGACAATAATAATCTCTATTTATTAAAAGATTGTAAGACATCCTTGCTTTTTTAATAGTTTTCTTCTACAGAAAAACAAAACAACAGAGTGTCTGTAAATTCAGAATGCACAAGGGGACGGAACTATCCAAGATTTAACCCTAATTCATTGTATAAAAATATGTTATATTTACAAACATAGCGAAAGTTTTAACAAGAATTGTGGTAAATCCCAATATATGTACATTGTTAGTTGGTATCAAATTTCTCGCAAATAATCGTCAGTTTGATAAAATCCTGTTTACATATATTTGATTTTCTTTACTTTACCACTGTCAACTTCAGTTACAATGAGGTTATCTGCGGTGTCCATGCACAGACCACATAAATCACCTACATCACAGCTACGAATAAAACGTAGAAATTGTCCGTCCTGGTTTAGGATGTGGAGACAGTCATTATAATGATCTGCAGTCAGGATCTGACTCCGACTGTCTGTTGTGATGCCAAGTGGATCAAAGGATTTCTTGGAAATAGAGGTATGACCCGTTTATTTAAATCTGAGTACACCTTCCTGATTGACTACTATTACTGCACTGGCTTTGCAGTCAGCAACACAGATATCCATGTTTCTGTTTTCAGTGATGTATTTAAAGCAATCAGGGGAATACAAGGGGTCACCTTCACTATCAAACTGAAAGGTTTGTTTTTCAGTAGATCCAGAGTAACGGACAACTTTTGATTGTGTGTCATCGTCACTGATCATAGTAACTAAGAGGTCACCAAAGGAGGAACTGCAAATATAGTAAGGTTTCCACCCCTGTAGTCTTATCACTTCCTGTATCTGTTTATTCTTTACTATGTTTACAGTTCTTGTATCATGGTCAGTATAAACTAGATCTCCACTCCTTGTCACTGCTATGTCACATGGTATGTTCCCTGATTTGGTTTGGATTGTCTTCAGTAGTTGGCCCTGGAGGTTGTAGAGTTTCATGAATTTGTCATCTCCACATGTCCAGATTTCTTCATCACTGAGGCGGGTAACACTGTAAAGTGGATCATACCCAGTGTCAATGGTGATGATGAGCTCAGGTTCATCAATCAGCGGTTGGATTGGAGGACAAGATGCAGCTTCTGGTGTCTTCATTGTGTAGCCATGTTTGTCTGTTGTAATGGACAATGCTGACAGAGAACCAAACATTTGATTGAGCTGGTCCTTGTTTCCGTGATGAGGGGAGAAAATTGGCAAAGAAAATTGACTTTATGAGGTAAATTGATGAATTCAGCATTTCTTGAGATATAAGCAGAGGCTAAGACATCATTGGAGTCAAGTATTTTCTTCAAACCAAGCATTGTATCTTCTACTTCAGAAGTAATCTTTTTCATTTCATTTCCCTGTTTATTCAAAATAGTCAAATGTTTGGTTTTCATCTGATTAATTTCAGATTTCTGTTTGTTGACGATACTGTTTATTTCACGATGCAAGAATTCTCCGTGTTCGGTAACTGCTGTAATCAATGTTTCATATCGCGCTTCCAAGTTTAATTTTTCAGACTGTAAATCCGACTCAATTTCTTTATAAGTAGGATATATTCTTTGCTCAAGCTCTTTAAAATCTCTTTTTAAACTTTCTGTTTTGGAGTTGAGTTTCTTCAGAACATCTGATATATAATGTCCATCGTGTTTACTAGAGATGCAGATAGAACAGGCAGGAATGTCACATTTCTCACAGTAAAGTTCACAATGTTTCTGGGTGTGGTTTGGACAATTTGGGTAGTTAACAGAAGGAGTAGTCTTCCGGTGTTTGTAGGGTACAACAATGTGTCTTACGGATGAATCAGAGAGATGATCCCCTACACAGGCCTTACACAGGTTAATCTGACAAAGTTCACAATGACTCTGTAATGCTGCTGTTTGACACAGGTCACAGACGAGTAAGTCTTGAGCACTGGCTCGTGGGTCCATTTCGTGGGTAAACTGTCATATGATAACATGGATCTGTAAAAATAATGAAAATAAATAAAAAAAAATTTTTCTTTAATGTTAGTCAAATTTATTGAAGAAGGTGGAAAAATGTCTTGACAAAATCGATAAGGAATCGAACAACTTTTTTTTTTACACTTTTAAACTTAAAGGGAATAGTTCCTAAATCCTATTATCTCCTATCTTCTTTCTTTCCTTTTACAATTAAAACATTGTTGTTGTCAGAAAAATTTGAAAATGGATAATTTCGATAACGTCTTACCTGAAACTTCAACATGGCTCCCTTAAACTGTCTGAATGTATGTTAATAATTAACTTCCTTGTCCGTACTTTGAATCTCATCGTACTGCCAGGCCGTACTTTAAATACCTAAATATGTAACTTAAATAACCGTGAAGCACGCAAACTGAGAAAATTATATTATGTCTGGGTATATAGTGAGAAAAAGTTTGGGGTTTTGTTAGGGTCTTATATAGTGTGATACGTGAATACTTTTAGTAGTGCGTTAACCTTGATTCAGTACGAAGAACTAGACATTTATGAAAACATGATAAAAAACATAAGAACATAAGTCCTAATGTTTACCATATGATATGTACATTAGAATACAATATGTTTTTTGATTTATTACCATATGACGAGATATTATATGTGTTCAATATATAGAAAAATATTTTTGCAAAATATTTTTGTACATTAGAATTTCAGCTTTGACTTTGAGTCAGCATTTTGAAACTCATTTTGCTAATGAACACACTAATGAACACACTAATGAACATACTAATAAACATACAATGTGAATATTGATTCGAAAAGAATAAAAGAATGATTTCGAAAGTTATGACCTATCTTTATTTCATATAACCCAATAAAATAAACATTAAAGATAGATCGTTGAGTAACCCATCGGTCGAAATAAGGTTCTCTAGCTGTAAATTATTCAGATTAAGATATTCAAAATTATAACATAGAAACTAAGGTAGCTTTACCGACTGACAAAAATGGCGGATTCTGATTTTTTTTTTCATTCCAGGACACGATATTACTTTCCGTTTCGGTTCTTTTATTCATTCAATAGATATTTTGAAATTTAATTTCTTGGAAAAAACAATTTTCCCTATCGACTCAATTATATTACCCTGAGTCGAGAGAGTTTAACCAAACATGATTTAAAGACAGCCAAATATACTTTTTTATGAACTGCAATTTACAATGTTCATAGAATTACACATAAAAAATCAATAGCAAGATTTGGAGAGATATTAATCGATACACAATATCATGCCAAATTGCAGAATGGCAAGACAAACGATTAGCCTATCAAACTCGAAAGAAACCACCTAACCACAGTTTTGCACCACCAAGTTTAAAAAACAAGGGCAGATATTTGAACGGAGTAAAGAATGTCCTTTTAAAAATCATATATTGTTGGGGTAAAGCACCTCATGATTAAATCAATCCTGCAAAAAATATTTTCTTTATACTTGCACATTTAGCAGTAAAACTGATCATAATCATAGCAAGCTTTGACGTTTAATTGAATTGAGGGAGTATTATCGAGACTCAAATTAAAACCAAGTTATCAAATTTTAAAATTGTAAAATAAACGTGTTCAAGTAGTTTAAATAACATTTAAAACAACAGGAAAAGTACCAAACATTATATCATGCATGCCGTCACAAATTTGTGACCATTTTCGTAGATCACAGAGGAACATATAAAAATGATAATATTCGATATTTGATGCTAGTTTCTATCACTCTAAACGACCCCTATTATAATGTGTTCCTTTAAATAACATTAGTGTTGATAGTTTTGCCTTTGAAATGAATGAATCAAAATATTGTTTAGTAGGCAAGTCATTTTAAGGTTGAAAGGTTTAATTATTGAATTACAATTATATGACATCCCATTGGAAAATAACAAAAATTATTGAAACCACTACTTCTTATAATTAAATAATTATTTTATTTTTTCTCTATTATTTTTATCAGGTTGGTATGTAACGTCAATCCCGCTATTATAGTGGTATGTCACTATTATGGTTAAAATGCGGTATATTTTCAGCCGCGTTTGTCCTCCATTACATCAGATTGCATGCTTGCTGTTTTAAGCGCAAATTATGGACACAAATTGGCACTCTTACATGTTATGAACTTTAATTGTTTTTCTGCTGACGTCTTTGATAATGTTTTGAACATATTTTATTGACAAACATGTCAAAGGGATTGGACACAAGTTCTTGAAACTTAGATAGTCCTCTCCCATACATAAAATATCAAAATCCATACAATAATTACAAATATTTACAAATTCCCAATGATATAGATGAACGTAGAGGAACAAAAACAATAGCTGCTATTATTGCCAAAAATATCAATTAATATTCTGTTGGTTATAACGACGACAAAAACAATAATATCTTAGTTTCAAAAGAGATAGTAAATACAAATAATTGTTAGTTGAAACGATCAGTATCCTGAATAACTTTTTGACCAAAGCCAAATATTCTTTCATTTTCTTGCAAAGATAATGATTCATCTCCCAAAGTAGTGTATGTGCATTTAACATTTTTCACATTTTTAACTACAAGTAACGAATTCAACATTAAATTCCTAGCTTCTAGATATTTTCTACACACAAAGAAAAAATGATGACATATCTCCATTCCTTAAGTTTGATCACTTCTTGTACCTGTTTATTCACTATGTTAACAGTTCTATATCAGGATCAGTATAAACAAAATCTCCATTCTTTGTCACTGCTATGTCAGATGGTGTGTTTACCTGACTTGGTTTGGATTGACTTCAGTAGTTTGCCTTGGAGATTATACATTTTCATGATTTTGACATTTCCACATGTCCAGATGTCTTCATTACTTAGACAAGTAACACTGTATAGAAGTCGATAGCCAGTGTCTATGTTGGTGATGAGCTCTGGTTCATTAAGCAGTGGTTTGACTGGAGGACAGGATACAGCTTCAATATTAATGTGTGTTAATTGTGTAGCCATGTTCATCAGTTGTACATGTAATGGATAATGCTGACAAGTTAAGGTTTTCAGATTTTAAATCCGATGCAATTTCTTCATACGTACAATATATATTTTTTTCTAGTTCTTTCAAATCCTTTTTTAAAATTTCTGTAATGAAACTTGGTTCCTGTTAGATATCTGTTAGTTTATGCCCAAGGTTTTCACCAGAGGAGAGACAGGTAGAACAGACAGGAAAATCACATTTCTCACAGTAAAGTTTACAACGTTTCTGCGTGTGGGATGGACATTTTAGATTTCTACATTAGGAGTAGAAGCTCTGAATTTGTGTGGTACAACCGTGTGTTTTTGTGTTCGATCAGAGATATGCTCCCCTACACAGACCTTACACAGGTTAATCTGACAAATTTCACAATGACTCTGTAATTCAGCGGTTTGAAACAAGTCACAGAGGAGGAGAACTTGAGCTCTGTCAATTGAATGTACCTATGTTTGCAGTTTTTTATCCAAAAAAAAGAAGAAAAAAGAAAAATGACTTTACACCTCATATGAATATAATCAGTATGACCTAGGATTCCTCTTTTAATGCATCAATTAATGTATTATACTGCATTTTAGATCAACTACAAATCGGTAATGTTTTGGTAATGTGTTAAATCTTAACTATTATCTTGTCTCACCTTAGGATCCAAAATGGCCTCCCTGCTAATCCTACATTTTCTACAAACAGCTTCCTAGTGTTTATTCTAGTTTTAACATGTACCTGTTACCACATCAGGTGATTTTAATATCCGACATATCTTTGTCTGTCAATTTAGAGATACAGCCACATTATATTTTATTTATTTATCTTATTCTTTTGATTGATACTATACCCTAATATACTAAACTACCTATATACTAAACTGTATAGGTCCCGGATACTACCCACCCAGAAACTTTATTTTGCTTTATCCGTGGGAAGATGCTCTATCAATAGCACTTCTTCTTTTGTTCCCGTCGCCCGCGTGGCGTAGTTGTTAGAGCGTCTGCTCTAGAGTCCCGAAGTAAGGAGTCATTCCTTACGTCGCGGGATCGAATCCCACTGCGGGACGTGGAGACCGGTCCTTCGGGTGAGACCGTATGAACCGAGTCCCCGTGTCGCAGTAGGTGCTGGCACGAAAAAGATCTCTCACTGCTCAAAGGCCCTGAGTGCCGAGCATAGGACAAAATTTGTAGCCCTCCACCGGCAAGTGGTGGCGTCTCCATATGAGTGAAAAATTCTCAAGAGGGACGTTTAACAATATACAATCAATCAATCAATCTTTTGTTCCCTCGCTTCATGATTTTAAATATTGAAACTTTTATAATATTTGAGAAAATTCTTGCCCTTTTAAAATTAATGATCAAGAGCAAAAATGTTGAAAGCAAGAAAAAAGACTCGTATACCTAAAAGAAATGTATTTATTGAAGTTATCACAACAAGTGAATCAATCGAACATATCTAGTGTATAGGAAGAGTGTCGGCCTGTATTCTGTTAAAGCAAGCACGCTTGAATGTATGTAAAATTTAAATGCCATTCAAGGGCTCTTTCTCAGAGAGGTCAGACGTTTCGATACAGTGTCATCATGGATTATAAGCGGTATATTCCTATGACTAACTACAATGAATGAATTCCTGTTTTACTAGTATCAGAGAAGGCAGAGTCTACGTCTAATTCATTTAGACACAAACAACATCTCCGTAAACTACAGAGTCAGGCTGATCTTAGTACAGATGACCTCAAACAGGTAAAGACACAGACAACATTTCCGTAAACTACAGAGTCAGGCTGAATCTTAGTACAGATGACCTCAAACAGGTAAAGACACAGACAACATCTCCGTAAACTACAGAGTCAGGCTGATCTTAGTACAGACGACCTCAAACAGGTAAAGACACAAACAACACCTCTGTAAACTATTTTTGTATTACAAAATTATCATCATTAGCATGCATGTGTTTTTGACTTTTTATCATTTCCCCTACGTGATGCCATACATTTCATGGTTGAGTAGTTTTGACTAGTGATTTTAGTGCAAAGTAACCAAAATAAACATCTTACCAATTTTCATAAGTTTTGGTCACATAGTCAGAAAATTTCACCATATCATGTTCTTGTGTGTTTCTTTTTCCTTTCAGTATTTACACATAGATCTATGACGGTCTGCTAGCTGCATTTCCTAACTCTAACTAACATGAACTCTATCTCTAACTCAAACAGGTAAAGACAGAAACAACATCTCCGTAAACTACAGAGTCTAGCTGATCTTAGCACAGATGAACTCAAACAGGTAAAGACACAAACAACATCTCCGTAAACTACAGAGTCTGACTGACCTTAGTACAGACCACTTCAAACAGGTAAAGACACAAACAACATCTCCGTTAACTACAGAGTCTGGTTGATCTTAGCACAGATGACCTCAAACAGGTACAGAGAAAATAATAAGATTGAAGCATAACGTACTACAAAGGATATGAAATCGAAGAAGGTTGTAATTGTAAGTAATTTAGATTATTTGTCTTTTATGTATATTTATATTTAATATATATGATCAATTTAATCTGTTCATTTAATTTTCTGGAGTAGAAGAGAAACTCACATCTCATCATAGACAGAAACTCGCTAAAACTCGCCTCACCAAAATCGTGCACTACAAAGAGAAACAATTGCAGTACATTGTTTGTATCCTTTATGGATGAAACTTAATATTATGATGTTGGCAATGCAAAAATTTTTGTTGAAAGTTGAAGCCAATTTTTTTTTATTTGGCAACTAATGTACATTTTTAAACATGGCCGGGAATAAATAGAAACATTGAAAAACAATAACAGAAAACTTAAATTGTAGTAATCTCCCTTGACTATGCTGCAGACATCTTGGAGAACTCTCTGTTTATGTTTTGGCGTTACCTGGAGTATTATGTCATTCACTGCATTCCTGTCAATCAGCAGACATCTACGTACCATAGTCAGACTCGCAGACACACGCAACTCGGGAGGCTTCAAGGTTAACCAGGCTATGTCTTTAACAAATGAGTTTTAAGTGAGTCAGATATTACGGTTGACCATATTTTTACGTCATCTGATCCTTTTCGTTTCATTTAAATGATTAATTACCTAGTGTACAGGGAAATGTTCACCCAATTGACTTTCGCCAGGGTGAATTTACAGAAAAAAAAACATTATTTCTACAACCCTGTTGTGTCTGGGTGATTTTAACATACAGGGCAAAATTGTTTGCAAGTGAAAGAGGAGAAAAATATGATGTGTATAAAAATAGACATGTAAACTATATTGAAAAATTAAACTTTCTGTCTCTGAGTGGATTATAGTGCACAAAAGATAAAGCTTAAATTGCTGATTCCTAGTTAATTTAAAAATGTTTACAGATTTGACAGGGATTTCTCACTAATCATTTTGCGAATCTGATGCAGTTTCTCTACCAGGCATTGATAGACAGCTTATGATGGGGGTGACCAGTGACGATAAAGAGACACTGAACCAGACAGCAAACACGGCCATACATGACTCACCCCTAAAAAAGACACAAAAGATTGTCCAGGTAAAAATCACTACTCACTCCTAAAAAATTACAAAAGATTGACCAAGTCAAATACACCACTCACTCCTAAAAATGATACAAAAGATTGACCAGGTAAAATACATCACTCACTCCTCAAAAAGATATATAAGATTGACCAGGTAAAAAACATCACTCACTCCTCAAAAATATACAAAAAATTGACCAGATAAAATACAGCACTCACTCCTCAAAAAGATACTAAAGATTGACCAGGTAAAATACACCACTCACTCCTGAAAAGGATACAAAATATAGACCAGGTAAAATATTCCACTCACTCCTGAAAACGATACAAAAGATAGATCAGGTAAAATACACCACTCATTCCTCAAAAGGATACAAAAGATTGACCAGGTAAAATAAACCACTCACTCCTCAAAAAGTGGAATGACAGATATATTGATTCTTCACATTTAAACCACAGCAAAGTGTTACTGCCAAACCTTTCCCCCGGCCCATCTAAAGATATAGTTGAGATACATGTACCCCCTTCCCGATCTCCACCTTAAAAGTGGTTCATCTATTCTTCCATGAATCAGATTTAACTCTCTCCCACAGCCGTAATTTTAAAGTGTTTCTTTCTTCCCTACCTCCAGCCTGCCTTAAACTTGCTTCAATGTTTTATGCGATTGGAAATTTGCTTGTCGTATGGAACATTGTAATTTGCATTCTGCGATAGAGTATAACTTGATCCAGATGGCATTATATAACACTGAATTCTTGAAAATGAGAAATACAATGTACTTTTATTGAGCTATGCTTAATTTATCACCTAACTTTGAAAAATGTCTTCGGATTGATATATTAACCGTTGTTTGTTAAGAAATACTTTAAGTCCAGGGCCCACTATAACTTTGTGGAAGCCCTCATAAGGAGAGTAAGAAGCCTAATGAGGCTCAACTCGGGGAGCTGATAATTTATAAAAACAGATAGATAATTCACTATAGTGAAATGATTGATGTTGTCTACAAAATTTGATATGACTTTTTAATATTAAGTTCTACTGACAGTGGACTTATTTAGCTGAAATCCCATGGAACTTAACAAGTATTAAAGATGTGTGTGAAATAAAATGAAAACAACTACAATAAAAAGTTTCTTGAATCAGTTTTCTCATCTTTGTTTTGGGTTACATATACAGACAAACCTTGTTATCTTGCACCCTATGAATCCCAAAGAATCTATGAAGAAACACACAAATAAAGTGGTTACATGTAATTAATTTATCTTTGTCAATTACGATTCTTAAATAAATTATGTTGCAATGGCCGCAGCGAGCTACATATCTGTGAAGGAAAAATAATTTTCAGAACTACGAAGGGTGCAAAGTTACAAGTTCGCAAACTATCTCTATATCTACAGAACCACAATTCAGATTAGAATGAAATTCGGTACACACATAGGCATACAAAAGATCTATAAACAGCATATGCTGAATAAAATTTCTCTCCTTGTTTGTAACGTCACAATGTGAAAATGACGTCACTATTTAGGTCACTTGTGACGAAAATGGTTGTCTCAGTCGAATTCTTTCAACAAACGACAGTACAACATATTGTAATATCTTAGAAATCCCTCTACAGTATCATATGATAATTTGTACACAGTTTATTGAGATAAATAAGTTCCAATAAATTCAATTAATGATTGGATTAATCGTTTTAGTGAAGGAAGGCTGATGGTTAAAAATGATACTTGTCATCTTTCCCAGTGAAAGCAAGTTTGAAAAGATATGTATTTTTAATTAAGCAATTTGCTTTCAAAGACTTCCCATTAGCACTTTGAAAAATAGTTGAATATTTATTTTGAACAATGATATAAGTATTAAATACCTAAGATATCGTTTACTTTAGATTTTAAACATATTAGATATGATAAAAAGGATGCACCCATATTCTATCCACCTTGAATAAAGGTATCTCCTGAGACAAAAGATTTGTGTTTTAATGGTCGCCATGCTTATTTTTGGAAAGGATGTTATTATCCACCCATTCTGTTGCCGAGATATGACTATTTCTTACAAATTAACTGTACTTGTCATAAAAATTAACTCACATGGAAAAAAATATAAAATTCGGAAAAATCTTTTAACTGTTGTGACAGAACGCTACGGAGGGGGTCACGTGACCGCCAATATCACGTGATTTGCGCATGCACAGAACGGTGGTTGATGTGCATTAAAATCGGGGAGGATTAATTTGAAATATAATCAACATTAAAACCAAATATTCTTTCCTGTATGGAAGTTATTCAATTAGTTTGCATACTTTTTGATCACCCCTCGTATTTCAGGATTATTTTTTTTAAAAATTGGACGTCTTTAAAAGCGAAACTCGGAAAGGAAAACACTAAAGCGACAAAATGTAATCTTGCATTTTTTTTTCAACGAAGTTTTTAAATGACAATGGTGTCGTCATTCAGCCTTCAATGTCTTATTTATCCAAATTCAGACTATATAATGCAACAATAATGAACTATTTTGGTGTTGAAATGATTTGTTATTCACCAAAAAAATATCCATATTGACCTCAGCTTCGCCTCAGTCAATAAGAATATTTTCATTTTTCTTGTGAATAACAAACCATATTCAACACCAAAAGAGTATAAAATTATGTAGTAATTTTGGTTACTGGAAAAAATCCTTTCAGAAAAAATATTGTTACCTAAAACATCTTGATTACATATATTTGATTTTCTTCACTTTACCACTGTTACATTCAGCCACAAAGAGATTATCTCTGGCGTCTTCACATAAACCCCATGGAAGCAGGAGGTCACAATTATCTATGTATCGAAGGAACTGTCCATCCTGATCTAGGATGTGGATACAGTGGTTGTTATAGTCTGCTGTCAAGATATGACTCTTGCTGACTGTTGTGATGCCGACTGGATGAAATGATCTCTTGGTAGCAAAAGGATGACCAGTGTATCTAAATCGGAATTCTCCTGCCTGGTCAACCACAACTACTGCTCTGGCATCATAGTCAGCCACACAGATATCCAGGTTTCTGTTCTCACTTATGTATTTGATAAAGAAACCAGATGAATACAGAGGTCTGCCTATATTATCAAACTGAATGGTTTGCTTCTCTGTGGAGTCAGAAAAACGGACAACTTTCGATTGTTTGTTTTCATAACTGTCCATTGTAACCAGAAGGTCACCAGAGGAGGTACTACAGACATAGTAAGGTGTCCATCCCTGCAGTTTGATAACTTCCTGTATCTTTTCATTCGTCACTATGTTTACAGTTCTTTTATCGGGGTCAGTATAAACTAGATCTCCACTCCTTGTCACTGCCATGTCAATTGACCGAGACTTGGTTTTGATTGACTTCAGTAGTTTGCCCTGGAGGTTGTAGAGTTTCATGATTTTGTCTTGTCCACTGGTCCAGATTTCTTCATCATCGATGCAGGTGACACTGTGTAGTGTTTTATACCCAGTGTCTATGGTGGTGATGAGCTCTGGTTCATCAAGCAGTGGTTTAACTGGAGAACAGTATTCAGCTTCTTGTGTCTTCATTGTGTAGCCATGTTCCTCTGTTGTAATGAATAATGCTGATAAAGAACCAAACATTTGATGGAGCTGTTCTGTGTTGATCTGAGGAGGAGAAAATCTTGGAAGTGATACATTGATTTTAGGAGGTAATCTTCTAAATGCAGCATTCCTGGATATGTATGTAAATAGGAGAGATTCGTCATCGGAGTCCAGTAATTCCTTTAGGTAAGTAATGTTCTCTTCTAGCTCAGAAATCATTTGATTTATTTCATTTTCCTTCTCTTTTAGAGCCCTCAGGACCCTAGTTTTTATCTGAGCAATATCACATTTTCTTTTTTTGACAATAATGTCTATTTCACTATGCCATACTTCACCTTGTTTGGAAACAGCTGTTGTCAGTTTCTCACAATGTTTTTCCAGGTCAGCCTTTTCAGTCTTGATATTAGATGCAATTTTTTTATAAGTGGGGAATATGTTTTTTTCTAGTTCTTTTAAATCCTGTCTTAAATGGTTTTTTTCAGAGCTGAGGTTATGAAGAGCATCTGATAAATCGTGTCCTTTATGTTTACCAGAGGAGATACAGGTAGAACAGACAGGAATGTCACATTTTTCACAGTAAAGTTCACAGTGTTTCTGGGTGTGGTTTGGACATTTTGGGTAGTTAGGAGTAGAAGTTCTGTGTTTGTATGGTACAACATTGTGTCTTTTGGATGAATCAGAGAGATGCTCCCCTACACAGGCCTTACACAGGTTTATCTGACAAAGTTCACAATGACTCTGTAATGCAGCTTTTTGACACATGTCACAGAGGAGGAGAACTTGAGCTCTGTCCAGGGGGTCCATCACTGGGGTTTTAGTAAGAAAAAAATCAGATGACCCTATAAAGTAAATAAGAGACATGGATCACTTACAACAGACATTTTTCGCAAATTTTTATAAACAAATCAATGTATGGGTTTTGTTTTGTTAGTTAAAATGTAAGACAGAGTCTGTTTAGAAATAACAGAAAGGATCTATTTGTAGTTTTAAAATGCCAAGTAAACTTTTCTTATGTTTGATGAAATAAATCGAAGAAAATGCTAACAGTTAATAACATCAAAGCAATTTGTATATCATGATCTAAAGTGTCTCTCGCATGCATTTCATCTAATGTATAATACATGTACTAGAATTTAGATTATTAATGACATTTTGAAATGTCTTACAATGTGTTTAATTTTCTAAATGTGATCTTTTCTTACCTCTGAACACAATATGGCTTCTCGATAATCCCGTACAATACAATTCACTTGCTTGTCTTTAGTCTAAATGTGTACCTGGTAACATGGTCATGTGATTTAAATACCTGAGATATCTATACACTTGTATCAGCCGTTGTAAAGACGAATAACGACCCCCATCGAATAATGACTGGGGTACACCCGTAGAAAAAAAAGTGTAGAAAGAGCCCTAGGGGTCGTTATTTTATATAATACTCCTATGAAAAATTGACCCCAGTGAAAAATTACCGCAGTTAAAGTGATATTAAATTTATAACAAGTGAAAGGAAAAAAATAAAGTTCTAACTACGTTGCGTATGACCTTAATGGATGACAGGACGTCTCGATGCTGTATATTTTTATACGTTCCATCCAATACAAGCAGACTCTCACTATATGATTAAAGATATTTTAAGTCTTTGCAAATACAAACTCTTTTTATACCTGTACCCCCCCCCCCAAAAAAAAGAAAGAAATGAAAAGCAAAAATATATATAGGATCTCCCATGTTTTGTGGTTTGATATGATTTTTATCCAACGAGTTGTGTGTTTTCTATCCCCCAGCCTTGGCGAGGGTATATAAAACACACAACGAGTTGGATAAAAATCATATCAAATCACAAACCATGGGAGATTCTTTTTATCACATATTTTTGTTCACTATAAATGTGTATTTTGTCGTTATTTCTAATTCAAAGTTCCTTTTCGGTTATCTCGGACCAAATAACGTAAAAAATAAAGTCACGCTGTATGAAATAGTTTGTACAAATATAAAAGAAAGTAAATATTTCAGCGCTTATTTTTTTCTAATTCATAAATGAAACCTTGTACAATTACATCAAATAAAGTGAAATTTGACAAATTAAGTTATTCTCTCCATCATACACATGTATTTGTTTATTTACATTACATCATGCGGCGTAGGAATACATAGTGTTGCTACGAAAACGATATCACATGGGCTATATCAACGGGATAAAGGGGAAAATATGTGATAAATATATAATTCTTTTCATAATACTGAAAGAGGATCTAGATAAAATATTGAAATGAAGTTAAGCCTTAACACATTACTATCATATCATAATTTATCATTATTAAAGAATACTTTTATTGTAATGGAGGTATGCATTTAAGTATTGTGGCAAAGTAACAGCTGAAAATGAGTAGAATAGTAGATTATTTTAAGGCTATTTTTAGTTCCTCCTTATGGAACAATAAAGGTAGGGTAGTTTTTTTGTTGCTTTCGTTGATACTCGACTTCCTCCTAGATAAGTAAAGGTAGATTATTTTCAGCAATAAATAGTAAGTCAACAAACGACTCAAGTTACTGAAGTCTGAGTCTGAGGAGTCGACTAGAGGTAAGGACATAAGTTCGGAACACGCAGTGGTATTTCTAAAGGTGTCCTCCGATGTGACCTTTTATTGCAGTGCTATCATCTCAACTTCATGTAAACCAAACAAGAAACTAGAGGTACTGTGAGCAATGAGCTCACTAAATATTACCCCCGCCTCTCATCAATATAATGGCAGTATCCATTTTTTGCACTGGAAAATCCAAATTATGTGGCAGATCAAAAAGTTAAATAGGAGGTTACAATGGCAATATTTGATAAAGATTCCGTGAAAGTTTCATTAAATTTCCTTCAGTGGTATGAGAGGATTTGCGGATAAGATATGCGGCGTACAGAGACGGACGGACGGGCATACCGATTACTATTAACCTTCCCACTTTTCAAGCGGGGGTATAATAATATAGGTCTTCAGCAGGTATCTTCTAAGGTTAATGATTTTTACCGTTGATAAACATGTCCGAGCTGCAAAAAACGGTTTTGAAATAAAAATCTTGCGATGTTCATTTTACTTTGTTGGAATATTTGTGTCACTCATAAGCCATTTGTTGACGTATAAAATGTCCGGAGCAAAACAAAGTAAATATTGATTTAGCCATGAATAAACATATTGTATACTTAATAAAAGGGACAGTTCATAATTTTGAATACTTAACAAAGCACTGTCTTAGGAGATTCATGTAAGCATATTGCAAAATAGCAGATAATAATATTTTATACACTGAAAAAACATTCCGATCCTCAGGTTATGAAAATCAAGCATTAACTAATTGAAAATGCTTACAAAAATGTCTCTGAGTTTTCAAAGTAACACATTTTTACCAAGAAGGATATGAAAATAACGAACAGTATTCAATCTCAACGTCCATTAAACAAATATACAAAATAAGAGCAAAGCAAACACGGACCTCCGAAACATCAGAGGTTGGATCAGGTGCCATGGAGGAGTGAGCATCCCCTGCCGACCGGTCACACCTGCCGTGTGCTCGTTGTCATAATCAGGAAATAACGGAAAAAATCCGTGGTCAATTCAGTGTATAAATAATGGACTAACAATTGGTATGAAAACGTCAGTCAGCATTTCATTCAATGATAAATTGTATTTGCCGACGAGGTCATTGTATCGACCATAGAATTTACGAAATGATGACTTTAAACAAGACTGTTCATATTCTTGTTTCATCAACTTGCTTGTCAATAATTTACCTCGTTTAAGAAATTGTTCATACGTAGAGCATGCTCTTGCGTATCGAATCAACTGAGATATAAATACTCCGTATGCAGGTGATGAAGGTATATTGCTGCATAAGTAAGGGAAGTTGACGATAGAAAAGTTAAAGTCATCACGTTTATCATATTGCTTGGTTGTAAGATAACCATTTGTGTCTTTTTCAAGTAAAATATCCAAGTATGAAGCAGAAGTGTCGGACTCTGTGGTATCTTTTATCTCAAGCTCACCAGGATATATCGTGTCGACGTAGGAATGGAAATTATCATTATTAATTGACAATACGTCGTCGATATATCTAAATGTCGAGTTGAAGGCCACAGCAAGTGTTTTCTTCTTTTCACGCAAAAGATTTTGCATAAATTCTAATTATACTTCTTCAAACCTAATCTTTCAAGTTAATCATATTATATAGAGAAAATAAGTAAATTTCAAATATATTTTCCAGAATTTGGAATAAAAACACCTGCTATGCATTTTCCAATTCCAACTTTATCAATTAACACATTTTTAAAGTAATAATCATAGGTATCCATTCTTTTAAAGACATTTCAAAATTTTTATACAAATAATGTACTTAATTTCTTTTATTTAACTATTGTTCGATACAATGACGTGTGAGCAACTACATTTTATCATAATAATTATTTCTAATATAGATGATTGTTTTATGAGAATAAATGATTAACTGAAATTTACTTATCACAGAGCACATTGGAAAATTTAATTACGAAATTTTTGGATAAGAAATGGGTACCCTAAATGTGTAAAAGACAGACATACTGCTTGATTGACCAGGTAAAAAACATCACTCACTCCTCAAAAATATACAAAAAATTGACCAGATAAAATACAGCACTCACTCCTCAAATAGATACAAAAGGTTGACCAGATAAAATACACCACTCACTCCTCAAAAATATGCAAAAGAGTGATCAGATAAAATACACCACTCACTCCTCAAAAAGATACAAAAGAGTGATCAGATAAAATACACCACTCACTCCTAAAAAAGATACAAAAGATTGACCAGGTAAAATACACGACCCACTCCTCAAAAAGATACAAAAGATTGACCAGGTAAAATACACCACTCACTCCTCAAAGAAGATACAAAAGATTGACCAGGTAAAATACACCAATTACTCCTGAAAAAGATACAAAAGATTGATAAGGTAAAATACACCACTCACTACTCAAAAAGATACAAAAGATTGACCGGGTAAAATATACCGCTTACTCCACAAAAAGATACAAAAGATTGATCAAGTAAAATACACCACTCACTCCTGAACAAAAATACAAAAAATAGAACAGGTAAAACACCACTCACTCCTCAAAACGATACAAAAGATTGACCAGGTAAAGTACATCACTCAAAGATTGAAAAGGTAAAATACACCCCTCACTCCAAAAAAGATTGACCAGGTAAAATACATCATTCACTCCTAAAAAGATTGAAAAGGTAAAATACACCACTCACTCCTAAAAAAGATTGACCAGGTAAAATACACCACCACTTCTAAAAAAGATTGACCAGGTAAAATACACCACCACTTCTAAAAAATATTGAGCAGGTAAAATACACCACTCACTACTGAAAAGATCGAACAGGTAAAATACACCACTCACTCCTAAAAAGATTGAACAGGTAAAATACACCACTCACTCCTGAAAAGGATACAAAAGATAGACCAGGTAAAATATTCCACTCACTCCTGAAAACGATACAAAAGATAGATCAGGTAAAATACACCACTCATTCCTCAAAAGGATACAAAAGATTGACCAGGTAAAATACACCACTCACTCCTCCAAAAGTTGAATGAGAGATATATTGATTCTTCACATTTAAACCACAGCAAAGTGTTACAGCCAAACCTTTCCCCCGGCCCATCTAAAGATATAGTTGAGATACATGTACCCCCTTCCCGATCTCCACCTTAAAAGTGGTTCATCTATTCTTCCATGAATCAGATTTAACTCTCTCCCACAGCCATAATTTAAAAGTGTTTCTTTCATTCCTTTCC